GTATAAAGGAATGTAAAAAAGCATTAGATTTTTAGATTTAGCAGCAGATTATGAAAGCGCTGTCATATGAGTAACAGTTCATTTGATGCCTTGACCAACAAAGTCAGGGAGAGAAGAAGAAGGAGAGAAGCTCAGAGCTAAAAAGCCCAGGTCAGTTATTCAGTACTCTATATCAACTGGGCTGTGAGAAAACATCTGCTAGAATCACGTTCAGAAGCATTTCTAAACAGCTCTCTTTGATATTTTGGAAAGTTTTCAATAGCAGCAGGCAGAGTGGGCCCTGACACGAGGGGCAATGCATTTGTGTAGCCTGCTCCAGGATAGAAAGGAGAGACTGAAGATTGGGGAAAATATTAGAGCTGGTGATTTTGATCCTGCTGTAGATACTTCATGAACTAGAGGGAGAGTTGCCTTCTTCCCAGCCTGGAGATGAAACTCGAGATAATTTTAGTAAGGAGGTAATATAAGAGCAGATCTTTATTTGAAGGCCTTCAGGGACAGTTATGGAAAGATCATGTAAAAAATAATGTAAAGAAAAGATAAAAAGGCAAAAACCAAATAGCATCAGGAAGCCAGCATGAAACATCAGGGTATGTCGAGTTCCAAGAATAGACTAAACATTGTAATGATGGCACTGCTCACTTGGATATTTTAAACAAAGCCAAGCTTAACAAAACAGGTGAATGGAGGGGGCACAATGGAAGGAGGAGGACTGGATGGTCAGACTGAATGGGAAACGAGAAGGAGCTGAACCAGAACAAAGATGTCATTTGAAGCCAGATGAGTCAGGTGTTTCCATAAAGCTGCAGCAGTGCTTGTGCCAGCACAGTGAGGGTGCAGAGAGAAGCAGGAGTGGCACAGTGACAGTTCCTCGCAGCCTCAGGGCTGCCTGGCCACTTGACAGCTCTTAAAATCATTTCAAAAAAACACAGGCAAAACTACAGCCTAAAGGCCTGGCTTTCTAACAGCCCAAGCTATTATTAGAACTACTATACAATGTCTCTATCATGAATCTGAAAAGATGCATTCATGGTCTGTCTTTTACTGATTTATTGTACTAAGTAAACTGTAGGGGCCTTGTCCTCCAATTGCTAAATAAGAATTCTACCTGGCTTCTTAACAGTCTGACATCAAAACTAGGAAATAATAAACCAGGATTAGATCTGCGATTTCCTTGCCTGTTCTACCACTTAAATGATTTTTTATTGCACTGTAAACACAAAGGAAACATTCCACTTATAAGACATTTAAATATATAAACAGTTAATATTTCCTCTCCTTTGGAATTGTACAAATGGACCTAGACCATCAAATCTCACTGGCAGCTGACTGTTAAGATCTCACATCTACATAACATTCTACTATAAAAAAAGTTAGAAACTGGGGTTTTCCTTTAAGTAGATACCTCTTCACACAGGAACTACAAGATTTACCTTTTAATTATTTCTGGTACTTTGATCAAAACCTCTAGGAAAGCAGATTGCTGGAGACAGATTGCATGCATCTACAGAGGGAGGTGAAACAGTAAAATAATTAAAACCTGATGAATATCAATCAAGAGTGAAATTTTCACCTACAAGGAGGGCACACAGACCAAAACACACAAGCAGACTGTGCTTAAGCCTCATACAGAGATGCCATGGATCCTGCAAGGGAGAAAGATGCCCTTTAATGGAAAAAAACATAAATTTTTACATATTTCATCAGGCCAGCCATTCTTCCTGGGGGTCTGTTTCTTACATAAGCTGGTGTTGGGAAAGATGAAAGTTTGGCAAGAAAGTTTTACAGATACATATGCTGGCAGAAAGCTCTCTGAATGCAGAGCCTGAAAGTGGAATAGAGATGGAAGCAAGTTTTGATATAGAAGAATAACAGATTTCTAAAGTACGAATTGCTGAACCGATCATTACTGGACAACTAAGAAAGCAAAGGTTAAGTTGAGCTGGAAGGAGGTTTTATGGCTAGAACAAAGGATATGTTGACCACAGCCAAAAAAGGTGTTTATACCAAGCAGAAATGGGTCTTAGGAAAAGCAGAAGATACCATAGGCAAACAAACATGCCAATGTAGCAAGTAGAAAAAAGGTCTAAGAATTTTCCACTACAAGCAAACAGAAAAACAACTTTAAGCTTGAGCTGTAACATACTAACTCATGTGGTTGGATAGTAATGACCATAAGATGATAATGATAGTAGTTATGATAGGCTATAGGCAATAGTAAAGGTGATGCTGAATGGTTGTTATGCATTAAGATGCTCAGCAAAGAGAAATAGATAATGCATTGTACCCAGAACTAAAGGGGCTTCAGGCTTGCCTCTAAGCTGGAGCTGGCAGCTTTAGGTGAGGCTCTGTTACCCCAGGAATGCTGTAAAATCATCCAGACAATAAACAGCATTTGGAAGAGCCACTTGATGTCCCACATCTCTTGTCTCAGCCTCTTACAATCTAGTCTGGATTCTTGCAGTTATTTTTCTTCCAACACCAGCTTCAATGCCCTCATCACACAGACTCAGAGGTGACTGCTCACAGCCACATTTTACATAGACAGGATTGGTCAAGGACTGACTGAGCACTGAAGGAAATCCAACAACTCAACTGTAATGCAAAGATTTACATGTATTTTATACACCTTTTTCATGAAACTTATTTATGAAGACAAGTTGAAATACAATGCCATTTGATAGAAAGACACAGTCCTAAAAACCCCTTTTGTCACAAAGTTAAAGGTAACAGAGCCAAAAATAGCTCTGGCCATTCATCACACAGATCAAAAATATTTAAGATTATGTAGAAATTCCAGACTATTTTGCCTAAAAAGGCCCTCTGGGAGTCAGCTTGTCCCAAGCTCAGCTGAAGTTAAAGCATGTTGCTAAGGAGTCTGCACACATAATTTTGCAGGTCTCCATGGATGGAGGCTCCACAGTCCCAGAAATGCAGCAACCCTTGGAGCCTTCACCATCCCTTCAGCAGTGCCTCACTGCTCCTGGGGTTACTTTTCCCCAGCTCTGAGATTCAGCATCTGCTTCTAAGACTTCACAAGAACTCCACCTGGCTTTTTAACTGTGGACAGAGATGCTGCTTAGAATTTATTTTAATGTTCGTAGTACTTTAATTTAAAAATTCCAATTGCAAAATACCTTGCGATGCTGGAAAGGCACACAAGTACACACAAATGTCCATCTAAAAACAAACAGGTTGCAAAACATTTCCCCAAAAAGGAAAAATTTGAATTAATTTTAAATTGTAACAATGGAATTATCTGAGTTTCCTAAAGAAAAAGGTGGGGGGAGGGTAGAAACATAAGTTTACTGACTACTGAACACCTTGAGCAAGTTTTACTTCTGGCATAAGCCTAAATACAAGGATTAAAAATCACTAAAGCTGTCTCCAGTGGACATTCTTCATTTTACTTATTTGAGGAGCCCAGTTGCAACTTTACTGTTTATCTGTTTTAGTAACTTGATCACCAGGGTCGAGAATTAACTTGTCAAATTAAGCATGCAGGCAGAAAACAGGTTGGCTTTTTGTTTGTACACTGTGTGTACACTGTGAACAGGTGCCTGTATTTCTCCTGTGTAACCTAATAAGGCAGAAAAAGACAAATAACTCCACGTAACACAGCTCCTGAAAACTTCTGGGGTGGGCAGAATTCAGAATCAGGTGCCAAAAGAATGTTGCACATGAGTATTTACCAGTTACTTGACATTTGGCCTAGATCAGGAACTGATGCAAATTCAAAAGTGCTGACTAAAAATTGTAACATTTCTTTCAAGTACTTAGAGAAAGGGAACTAGCACACATCAACTTCTTTAAATCCACATTGAATTGAAAATTTTATGGTAATTTTAAGGCAGAAAATAATTTCATCTAAACATATTATTCTGCAGTTAAAAAAAAAAACTTTGCTAAAAATACCAAGTATGAAAAGCTTTTCATGTCTGATTAGGTTCCACAGACATTTTTCGACCCAAATTATTACACCCTCTACTCATCCGTGTTTAAATAAGAAGCTAAAAGGAGTAATTTCCTCTTGGTAATAAAGCAACATGCCAAAATACACTTCTTGTAAACTAAAGTGACTTCTCACCCCTTTCAGTTCTAATGGCCAGACCTTCTTAATTCCTAACCAGGCATTCAGGAGTATTTCCAGTGACTCCTGCAGAATTACATTCACACAATCACACAGCATGAGTAAAATGCATCAGACACAGGCAGTTTTTTCCCAGTTTCTAAGGAGAGCATGTTTAAACATTGACAAGCCAATGCAAAGTGGCAGAAAAATTATTACAATTTCTCATCTCAGGCACATGAAGCATACAGAAATTAAGAATTACACTATATGAGGATTTAAATGTTTATTTATGTGGTAGCAAAAGGTGCAATCCACAGTCCCTGCATTAGGTAGAGAGGCTTCTTTTATCAGAAATGAGACACACATGTGCCAGCCTAGAATTCACAGAAGCTGGAAGTGAACTACAAACAGTGAAGGACAGATGTATCTGACATCCATAAACTGAAAACCTAAGCAAGTTTGATGAATGATGGAACTAGAACAGAGGACAAATAATAGTGACAACAGAAGTAATAAAGTCACTCAGAAGAGCCATGACTGGAGAGTTACAGACCCCCAAAAATGCGTATTTTCAAATTCCTTGGAAAATACAAGCAGTGCTTTAACTGTTTCCAGCAAATAGGGGCTTATATGTGATCACATCTATACCAGACAACTCCCTGCTCAAAACCACAGCCAGTGTACACAGAGAAAAACCTGAAACCCGTCTCAATTTCACGAGACACATCTACTTTTAAGAGAGAAGATGGTTCAGTGAGAATCCATGAGTCCATTACGGGCTGATCAACTGAAATGAGTGCAGAGTCACTCATTTATATTTTTAATATAACAAAGTTAACTACAATAAAAAGCCTAATAACCATGCTGACTTTACAAGCAAAAGATAATAGAAAACAACCCCAAAAAACCCCAGCCCTGTAATACTTACTCCAATGAACCTTTCCTGTTTCAGCTTGACTGTGTAGCGAAGATATTTTTATTAAACATTTTCTTCCTATTACTCTTATTTTTTCAGAAGATTCCACGAGATGACCTCAATGTGATCTAAAAAAAGCCAAACACAAGATAATGTAATTGATCAAATGAGAAAATCAACAATTTGTATTTGGCTCAAAAGCTGCACCATCTTTCTCTGCATAAATACCTAAATAATCACACTATTTTTTACTGCCTTCAAATACTACAGCACCACATTCTCATTACACAATGTGATTAATCTAACAATTAAATGAATGTCAAATCCACAAACACCCTGCTACCAGAAAGGAAATAAAGGAAGCGGTAATTTGAATATGTCATTTGTTCTAATAAGTTTTATGACCATGAATTAGTAAAAAGCATTCTTAGCTGCTACAAATATTTTCAAATTTTTGTACACTCAATTTGGCTCAGAGCAGCAGATGTCCACTGCAGTTAAAGCCAAAAAAAAGAAAGACAGAGATGCCTTCATTATCTTAAGCAATTTTTCTCTTTCTCCTCTGGGCTGTAAGCTGATTTCAGTGGAGGTTTTCTGTTGGTTTGGGGGGATTTTGGTGGTTTTGGGGTTTTTTAAGAGTGCATCATCTGTAGTTCTACTATGGAGAAGCTGAGTTGATGACACAAGTGATCCCATATTCCTGTTCACAGTTCAATGAGTGAAAGGTTCAGAAGGTCTCTGACCAGCAAACACCCTGCAGAGGTACAGGGCAAAACATCTCCACAGAGCCAAGACATCTTCCTCCTTAGCTCTACCCTGCAAATGGAGCTCCCAAGAAAGAGAAATAAACAAGAACTACTTCAATCCCCCAAGCACAAAGCAGTGCTGTTTGCACTGATGCTGCCTCCAGGTTTATAGGCCAAGCCACACAACACAAGACACGTAACTACACCATAAACTTCCCAGAAACGACTATTTTTCTAAACCACACCAAGAAGGTCCCACTGTGCTCGTGAGAGCTCAACACAGTACAGTGACCAGGAGGGAGGCAGGGCTGTCACTGTCACACAGCAGAATTTCTCTGGGAATTAGCATGCAGAGCCCTTTGAAGCAACTCACGCTCTTCAGTGGCTTTGAGGGATAAATACTTATTTCCCCACCTGCTTAAGTCTGAAAAAAAAAGTTACTGTTCCATGCACAAACTTTTGGTGCATAAAGGTGTTGTCCCAAAATGGGTTTTCACATGGTGTGCAAGAAGCCAACCCACACACATTGAGTTATTTATTTACAGAGGCATGAGCTAGTCCAGAAACTTCTCATAATTAATGACTAGGAACCTTCAGCAGGGAACACACACAAGAAAAAGAAAGAAAGACTAGAGAAAAATGAAGACAGTATTATATGATTTGGAAATTGCAAGGACAAAGCAACAGCGAGAATCTCACAGAAACAAGGCTGAACTACCAGCCTGGAATTCATGTTTTACAGCCATGTCAGTATTTGTACTCGTGGAATCAGAGAAATCCAAATAAAAAGCTACTAGCCAGCAGGCAGAATCTTGGGAGGGGGTGTGAAATGCATCCTACTATAGCTAACAAGCATGAGAACAGAACTTCCACGCAAGGAAAAAGTCCTGCATGACCTGTGGCCCCTCAAACAAGGGGCACAGTGTGTGACTGAACCATACTCTGTGGCAGGAGCAGGATACTCTTTGACTAGAAGTTGGATATCCCAAATTTTAGAGGTCAGTGGCTAATTAGACACATGATGACAAATCAGATGGTGCCCAGAAATTACCCAGGGTCTATAAATTGTATGGCTTAAACAAACCACTGCATTGTGAATAGCTCCTGTCACAGTTCCTGCATTCACCCCAATCTCTCGCTCCCCCACAGCTCCCTGTCCTGTTTCCCCTCTTTTCTCACAGCACTTTGAATCTCTGCAGCTCAGACATGACATTGACAACAGGCTGGTCCTCTACAACGAACCGTGAGGGATCAGCCAGCCCTCGAGACCTTAAACCATTTCTAAAGTACACAAATAAAGCACCCATCCAGTCTGTTTGCCATCCCTGCACACCCTCAGCAGCCCTGCCACCCAAATCCAGCTTTACACATCCTAAAACAGGCTGCAAGCAACAATAAAATATTTGCTTCTGCATGGATTTTCATTACATCTAAAGCAGTATTTGAGGACAGCATAAGAAACAAACACTTCATTAGAGGATGAGGGCGTGCAGCCTTATTCTTCCCACCAAGCAACCTTTCCCATTTTCAGAGCAGCAGAGCAGGGGTTAGGAGAGGTGGTGTCGATGGGCTGCCGATCACACCATCGGCAGCCAGGACACTTTCCACCTCCACACCACGAATGGAGAACTTTCCAAAGCTGGTTACACCCAACAGACGTGGTACAAGATCTGCTGGCCTTTTACAGACCATGAACAGCCACTGAGGACTCCAACCACGTAAGAAACACAACAGCATCATCTTCGGGAACTCCATAAAGATCAGAAAGACTGGAAGGAACTGTCTCACAAACTGGACTCTCTAATGAGGACATCTCTTTTCCCCACTGCACCTCTCTGGGGAACAGGGGAAAACTAGAACTGGCAGCTGGACATTACAAACAGAGCCTCTCTTCTGGGTCTCTTGGGTGTGAACTCAGCCAAAAACACACCACCAAACCACCTATGTGACATCTTCTGACAGAACCCACCAGGGACCCTATAGAAATCCTTTTCCATTCCAGCTTGCAACTTCTGTGTGAGAAATTGCATTTGGCAATTTCCTTTAATTACACCCTCATTACATAGATACTGATTTTATGTAAATTGTAACTTGGTTTTTCTAAAATATTAACAATCTTATGAGGCAATTCAACAATTGTAAAACTGTGTGGTGACAATCAAAATGCCTGTGACAATACAGTAAAACTTTCTACAGTTCTCCACCTACACTCCCTACATCCAAAGAAACACTTATGAATGTATGACCAAAAAAAATTATATCACAAGGAAAGAAAGGGGGGAGAGCTACAAGAAACTTTTGCCTAAAACTCCTCTGTGGCATAATGTTCAAGATAAACAATTACAAGCCAGGGAAATAGACCACTCACAAAGACAGAGAAAAAAAAGTAAAAATCATTCATGAGCAATGTAAGATGCCAGCTGGAAATTACTGGGTTAATTGTGGCTCTATTGTCTTCTTCTCTAAAACAATTTCTAGGCCCATCAGATAGGCTGCTCTGTCAATACTTCCAGAGTCCACAAAAAATCCATTTGCTGGAGGGGATGCTCCAGGTTTACTTGAGGATAAGGACCTATGAGTGGGTTGAATGACACAATATAGCAGTTTCTTGGGTGTCTTTTCTGTAATTAAACCTCTTACTCTGGAAGAAAGCACAGAGCCAGACATCAGGACAGCACCAGCAGATGTTTAGGACAGCAATACACAGCTGGGGCATTTTAAAGCTTTTCGTTTGGTCACCTCAAAGTTGTCTTGAGCATTTCTCATGCTCTCAGTAGTACTGAAGATTGGACAAGTGAATATCAAACTGAATTAGCTGCCGTAGCAATGAAGAAACTCACCATTTCACCAAGTCAGAGACAAAAAAAGTGAATATGAAGCATCAGTAAATATACCATATATCTCCAACTTTACAAAATACTGAAATATATAAAGCAACCCAGTCTTCCTCAGTCTTAAGTTCCAACAATAACAGACACAAAATTCTTCATGAATGTTCACTGCCAGTAATTAAGCCATCACACCTCAAGTCCAGGAACTAAAACAGTGAGCAAAAGAGAAGCTCACAGCAGCGCACATCTGCCTAAATGACTGCAACTTCCAGCTTTTACACTCTGCACACCCGAGTGCACGGGCTGAAAATGCAGGTTAAAGCCTGGATCTGAAAGAAGCATTTCATATCTATTACCTGGTCTTGTGTGACAGCTGATCCAGACAGCAGAGTGCAGGGAGCACACTCTGCCTCGTGCTGGAAAACACAGCCTCTGCACAAGCACTGTCCTAACAGTGCAGTGCCCAGAGCCTCTGCAGCAGCACAAACCAGTTCTGACCTTCTAAAGCTGCCATTGATTTCTGCAGTAACATCAAGAGACAGAATACCTTACTGACAATGGACAGCACACTGTTACACACAGGACAGCACTCTTCTTTGTGTTCTACTTTCCCAGCTACTGGTGCTTGGTCAGAAAACAATATCCTTTTAAAAGCCTCAGACTTCTCTGAAATGTGAAACCCACCTATCTCATACAAAAATCTTTTAACCAAAACTGAACAGGCAAACTGCGAGTTCCCATTGCACAAGAACAGCCACAGAAAGAGAAAAAAAAGGCAGAGACAGAAATCGCAGAACACCAAAGGAGCTCAAAACAGACATCTATGTCAGAACTGTAAGTTAGCTTACATCCTTTCTTATTCCTGAAGATGGGTAAAACAGAGACCACTTAGCATTTTCAAGTATTATTCTTTAAGTTAAACAGATAATAGTTAAAAACATGATTTGAAGCCGGATTCAGTTATCTCGTCATCAAGAACTCGATACCATAATTATGTTTATCCAGTGGGTGACTGAGGGCAGGAGCCCTGTGTCCCACACGATGAATCATGGTGTGAGGAGGCCTTGCTCACTCTTCCCGAGCGCTGCCCCACTGAGCCCTGGCTCACCTCTGTGAAATCCCCTTCTGTGCCCAACAGGCTTCCTTAAAACAAATTTATGCTCGTACAAGCACAGACTAATACGCTTTACAATGAATCATTTTTTACTTGGTTACACACGCTGCTGAGTTCCCTTTCAGTTTAGAGCTGCAAGACAATATCAAAAAGATCTTGCAAGTTTTCACCATGTCTTTATTTCAAACATAGTGATTTTTTAACAGGGTGTCAGTTACTGACATCTGAATTTTTTGGGGAGGGGGTAGGGTGTGTCCCTCCTTCACAGTGATGTGTCCTGCCTGATGGTGCTCAAGGTTCAGTAAGCCTCCTACTAATTGTACCTTAGAACTCAATCTGATTGGAGTTTTGAGGCAAATAATCTTTTTTCCTTACAATGAAGTCAAATCTAAGAGCAAACTTTATGTCAGCACTTACTGGCACTGGAAAATGAAAGACTTTTCCAGCACAGAACAGATAGTTCCAGATGGGAAGGAATCATCTGCACTATTTAGGATGAACAAACATAAAATAATTTATTTCTATTTTCCCAGAATGCTTCAATTGTTTTTTTCCTGCTCTGTCACCTTCAAAAGAAACACCTTCGGGCAAAGCAGAAGGGAAACACATCACTGTTAAGGAACCTTAACAAGAAGAGGCTCCTAGACAGCAAGTTTTCCTCTCTCTCTCTGCCAGGCAGGCAGTGATTCCCTGAGCTGAGGGCAGTGCTGAGATGGAGACTGGCAAAGTCTCTGCTAAGGGAGAGTCTGCAATGCCCTTGGCACTGGAGGCTGCCAGTGCTGATCACTTCTACTGACAGATGCAGAATAATAAAACATCCTAGCAGAGGCTCTGGGCTGGAGGATGCTGTCTGGACTCCACGGTTCAAAAAGCACAAAGTTCAAGGCTGCGTTTGACCGTGTTACACACACAGCAGTTTCTATGATTTCAGATGACTCACAAACAAATGCTCAGATTTGCTTTATATCGCTCCACAAACACGGAGTGAAGCGGGCAAGGCTTTCCAGCTCTTTCCCAGCTGTGATCCAGCACAGGGCACAAGTGATCACCCAGCTGGCTCAGGAGCTCCAGGGCTGCAGACACAGAACTGAAGGGTTCTGACTGAACAGGCTCAGCAGTGTGAGGATGGGACTCCTCCCAGGGCCTCACCTGCACCTCCACACCAGTGCTGCAGCTCCTAACCCCGCTTCATTCCATGTGCGTGCCAGCAGGGAAGAGCTGCAAGCCGTGCTCACAGAGCAGTGCTCCTCTCCCCAAAAATCCTCATCTACACGTGAGGTGTGAGGCCCAAGGCTTGAGCTGTGCCAGCCTGACCCCTGACAGCAGCTTAGGCAGGTGCAGACAAACCCAGCACCCTGCACAAGCCCTTGTGACACCTACAGAGATGTTTGTAGGTGTCAATGAACCCCCAGCCAGCCTGTTTGCCATCCCTGCACACCCTCAGCAGCCCTGCCACCCAAATCCAGCTTTCCACATCCCAAAACGGGCTGCCAGCAATAATAAAATATTTGATTCTGCATGGATTTTCATTATACCTAAAGCAGTATTTGAGGACAGAAGTTTCAGGGGCAAGGGCAGGGGAATTAATTGCCAGCAGCACAGCAATTCCTGTACCTGTTCCTTTAGTCTTCTATCACAACACAATTACATCCCATACTTTTGTATTTTAAGCTGCGCCTGAATCCATAGTTAATTACTGAGCAGAACACAAGGACTTGCTCTCGAACAAAATTACCCCCCACACCATCATTTTTAATAAAGAAATCTTATATTAGTTTAATGAGACATTTTCAGCCATTCTAAAGTTTATTATGTCCTTTTTCATTATTTCTCTCTGATTACCTTTAACTCTAAAAGGCCCAAGGTGCACAAGGGCTGATGAAGCTTTTCCTCCCAATTCAGGAACACCTCAACATGGCCCTTATTGCTGATGCATTTTCTACTCGCTAGCTTGTCACAGATATAAAATCACTGAAAAAACCCAGCTGGTTCCACCAAAAAGTTTCTACATGAATAAATATTTACCTGCACTTTAAACAGAGAAATAAAGCAGTGAGTCTTCATCCTGTTCCTGTGAAGATCCCATCATGATTACTGAGTTACTTGAAATGTTATTAGCAGCACTACTTGTGATTTCTGTTTCTTGTGATCTGCACAGTCTATTTTCTTCACTGCTTTCATGTCCCCAAGTTTCACTTCCCAATTACAATCCGTGAAATGCCTAATATGGTGAAACTATGCAAATTTACTTCTATTTAGTTCCCAAATTCTGCTTTTAGTTGTGCTCATATTTGAATCTATATAAATGAGAACACAGAGTTTAAAGGCAAGACTGAACAATTTTTCAGTAATTAATTATTATGAGCCATTTTGTGAAGGTACTGCCCACCCTGCTCCAGGTATCACTTGAAAGGCTTTGTTCTTTATGATTAAAACAAACTCCCAGGTGTGGATTGCAAGAGACTATGAACCAACACAGAAATGCCTAAAGTGCATTTTACAGACATGCTGCTGCAGTCCAACTTGCTGTTTGATTCCAAATATTACCACATAATAAATAATAAGAGAACTCCACCCCTAACAACATGTATGCAGTAAATACTAATTGAAACTAGAAGTAATCACTAAGAATAGTTCCTGTGCTGAAAAAGTTAAAATACAAGCATCTAATAAATGCAGTTTACCTCCAGTTATGTCCAACACTCAAAAGCAAGTCTATTAAGCTCCTTTAGATAATAGAAGTGTACATTTTAATCTGCTCTTGTTCCCCATTCCCCTCCTCTTTCAGGTAGTGAGGTGTCATAGAAAAAATATTTAAAATATGAAGCATAATTTCAGCATGACAATTTATAATTTATAAGTATAATTTATTATATATTTATCATGTATTATCTATAATATTTATTATATATTATTATATAATTGCAATTTATAATTATATATTTATAATTATAATTTAAGAACTCCAAATCTGAACTAATCCCAGGCTAGAAGCAAGGGAGTGCTTGGTTTCAAAAACAAAAACAAAACAAAATCAAACAAACAACCAAAACCCTAAATGCACCAAAACCAAAAACACACCACAAAAAAAACCCCAACAAACAAACACAAAAGACAATCCTCCTGTCGTCAAAATAACAGATCTGAATTTGGATCCCAAAGTCAGATTTGAATAGTATTCACATGTGTTACACCGCCTTTGGACATAGCACCTAAAATACAGAATATTTGATGTAAGAACCAACAGACCAACCCAAACCCTTCTGCTTCCCTCAGCTGCAGTGCTCAGCTCAGTAATTCAGACTACACAGCATTTTCTGCCTTCCTTCATTAATGAAAGCTTTCAGTCCATTCACCAGCTACCTGTTCCACCTCAGGCTTATTCCCAAGAGAAGCAAAAGCGTTTTGTGGTGTCAGGAGCCCTTCAGAGAGAAATCCCTTGCAGGTTCTGAGCAGGAGCAGAGCCTGAGCAGTGCTGGAGCTGACTCAGCCCAGGGAACCACACGTTCTCTGACACTGTCAGATGCAAGGTGCGCAGGGATGGAGGAGAGGCAGCAGCTCCATCATGGTCAATGTGTTTATCCTCCTGCTGCCACTCAGTGATGACACCAGTATTTACAGCACTTTCTGGCAACAGACATCCAAAACACATCCTCTCCCTGAGAAATGAACATGAGCTCCTTCTTTTCACTGGAGGCTTCCTTTTGACAACTTCACTGCATTCTGCACCCCAGCCTGGTGCTTCACCTCCCAGCCACAGAAGCAGTAGGACACAAGGGATGCAAACCTGGGCACACAAAAGAGCTGCTGCAGCAGCAGCACCTGTATTTAGCAAAGCAATTATTAAAATATGGCAAAATCAGACACCAAAAAAGTGACTCTTGCAACTGAAAGCAAAGGCTTTTCTGTTTTCACACAAACAATGATGGCTTGACCAAGACAGAAATTTCTCAACACCACACTTGACAACAGAAGAGTGATTTTACAAGATAAAGCTCACAAAATATTTACCTAAACTCCTTTCAAATTTTCTCCCATGATAAATGAGAAAGAAAACAAAGCCCCTCTCAAATTTTATTTTACTTCTCACCAACACATTGCAAGAAAAAAGTACATCACAAAAACCAGAAAGTTTAACAACAAATCATTTAATTTGCCACCACACCCCAATAAGCTAAGCTCTTCATCTTAACTGGGGGTGGTAATCACCAAAATGTAGATGCTTGAGCCAAAGATTTCAGGAATGCTGTTCTTTCTGAAGTACCCTTCTTGTATAAGGATCTAACCACAGCCTCTTTTGCAAAAAAATTGTCATTACATAGGTGAAAACCCTTTATTACTGCACAAATAAAGCTAAAAGCCACCCAAAGAGTCGTATGCTACTTTCCTAGCCAACAAGCCCCAGTCAAATCAATAATGAAGAAGCAACTTAGGGCATCAAGAGAGTGGAAAACTTTCACAGAAATTGGTATATATTGTCTGGTTCTTTCAAGCTTTATCAGCTCAGCACACAGAGCCTGCATCTCTCATTCTCCTGAGGTAATAACCCCAGGAATTCACCCCTAAGCAGTGATGTACCAGGATTTTAACAACTGGCAAGTAGTGATGGGAAGGGGAAAGGAGACACCAAATGCTGCAGGCCTCTATAAATCCTGCAGCTGCACACAATAAAAGTTGACAAGTTATCAAACTACGAATAAATCTGAAAATTCAGTCATGGTTTCTGAAATTTGCATAAAAAGGAAGTATCTTGAGGATACTAAAATGATGAGCTGCAGAGACAGACTAAGGCAAGAATTGCTCTGCCTTCTTATAAAATTTACCTAGAAGTTAACTGGAACAGAAATAACTCAGAGAAAACAGCTATAAATAGAAAGGGGTTAATCATTCAAATTTCTATTCCCAGGACAAGAATACACTAAAGATTCTAACTTTTTAATCTTATGATATGATGCTTTAAAAATACTTTAGCTGCTGTATTACAATATGCCTCTACCTACTTTTTATGAATAATTTCTCCTCTGTTTTTTTAAATGCAATAAAGGAGATTTTCTTTTGATGAAAACATTTTCACCAACAGTCATCAAAGCAAGCCTGTGCATCAGCTGGAACAATTGTGGTCACTTAAATGGATTTTTTTTTTTAATGGGGCCACTTAAAAATACATTTACCTTTTCTCCATCCTAATACAAAGCACGTAAAACTTATTTGTCATTGATTTCAACTACCAGAGCTGCTATGAAGAATTTTTCAATTAAGTGTTTGCATTTATCCTAAAGCAGCAGAGAAATTTAGAATCATTAAGGTTGGAAGAGACCTACCTGTAAGAAGATCAAGTCCAACTGTTCTCCCAGCACTGCCAAGCCCATCACTAAGCATCACATCCATTATATTTGTTCAAGGACATGAACTCAAGTTTACCATGCAAAGACACCAAAGAAAGAAATTGCCTCACCCTCAATGCACAGATAAAAACACACCAATCTCTCTGAACTCTGTGTGTCTGTGACACACTAGGAAATAGAACCTAATTATTACAAATCCCCAGCCAGTGCTTTGCTCACAGTATTTCTCACCCAAGTAAATTAATGTTGAAGCTTTTAAGTTAAACCAAATGGAGTATGGGAAATCAGACACAGAGAGAAGTTCTTTATTTTCAAAATGTAGAAACAGATAAGGATTTTGTCATTTGGTGGGGCCCAACAAGTTGATTATAAAGTGAGTTGTGGTACAGCATATTTGCAGAGGCAGAAATTAGGACAGCACCCAATATATGCACTCAGCTTCAAAAGATACAGAGCTGCTGCAAATCTCCATTGATTACTCATTACAAGAAATTGTGAGCTAAAGACTTGATTGTGGTCTTAACACTACGTCCAGCTTTTTAAGTGACATCTGCACATTCTTGCCAAACTTGCTTTTATTGAAGACCTCTACTAAACAGCCTTTCCTTTTTATGCAGAACTTTTCTGCTCTTCCCTCTCAACTCTTCATGCAACAGATTTATTTATAGCACCCAGAGGAAACAGAAGTTCCCAGTTATCAAAACAGACTGCAGAATGCAAATAAACAACTGTTATGTATTTATGTTAGCTGGACTCTAATTTGTGCAGAATGATGCCAAGTATTAAAAAAATGGTATCCTAACAGTTAAATCAACAATTCTGTAAGCAAAATGTTGCTGTTGGTATTATTACTCAGATAAAAATAGAATTTGGTCATTATTCTGAGCTTACTAAGATTTTCAACATAGCTTGAGGTCACCTAATTCAAGTGTAAATGAACAATTTTATTAAAAAAATATTATCTCCCTCCATCAGTACCACTAGTAGCAGATGTAAAAGAGAACCTCTGAAGTGCTGGGGAAGTAAAACCAGACAAGCATGAAGACTCTCAGTATTCTACACATCTCAAGAGTGACATCTCTATATTTAAACACATGGGAAATTTTGCACACAGCTTGTAAAAGTTCATAAATGCAATGAAATTATTTCAAGTTAGATATGCAATCAGATGCTGATTATCAGTATATTATAAAGTGTTTTTTTATTTTTAATAAAATATAGAAGGACTTTTGTCAAAAGCTTTGTATCTGGCTTACATGGGCACTAAAAAGAAGCAGAACAATATTAGATACCAAGCACAGATAATCAGTCTCTCCTTATTTTTATTATTAACAACGGAAAGGAGTCTCTTTTGCTAGCAAGTTTTGTGCCAGAAATTAATGTACCATTTGCTGCTGACAGTCTGCCAGACTAATGATGTTTTTCTTCACTCCAGAGGGTTCAGAAACTACTACTCACTTTCCAGTCAGCATTCATCACAGATTCCTCCCATGGAAAGAAAAACAAGACAGCTCTTCTACAGACACACACAACCTCAGTCATTAGTACAAGTAAATAATTTAAAACACTTCAGCAGAAGTACACAAGTGTTCTTCACCTCCTGCTATTGTGGCTCAATCCACAATTCCTCAATTTCACTTCTGGCAGAAGACAGAATAAAATCATAGAACTATTTAGGTTGGAAAAGACCCTTAACAGAAAGTTCAACCTTAAACCCAGTGCTGCCAAGCCCAGCCATGCCTTGAGTCCATATCTACACATCTTTTAAT